GGGGGAGTGAGCCTGGCAGGTGCCGGCGGGCGGTCGCGGCGCTGACAGCTTCGGTGAATAGCGGCGTCTCCGGGCTCCGTGCAGTTCCCGTCGCCGGTTTCCCGGGAACTGCAGCCGCGACCCCGCCTGCGGACGAGAGACGGGGAAGGGGAGTTAGACCCGGAGTGGAGGCGGGGACGGGGGCGCCCGCGGCCCGCCAGCGAGCCTGGTGCGAAAGAAAACACACAAGGTTGCGTGTTGGTTTCTGCCAACGTTTATCAAACAACAGGCTAGAAGCGTGTTCTGTGTAAAGCCCCCGAAAAGAGAACGCACTGCCTCTTCCAAAAATACACACGTGACACTGTAAACGTGGGAGGACGGCAGAGGAAGCAGACGGTGGTGGCATTTTTTAGGTGAATTGTGCATGGCTGTTCTGCCCTCCATGCTGAATTACATGACGAAGACTCTTGTTTACATATATATCTAGACACAAGCACCTGAATGCATACGTGAGTTTTTGTTTGGTTTTTCAGAAATCTTCTTAGTAGAGTATGTATAAGTCTAATTTCTAAGCATGGGTTTGTTTTTTTTTTCTGTGAGTTGTTTGGTACAGATATCATCCGTTGCCCTGTGGTTCATGGTGCGTAGTTAGTTCATCTGCCTGCTGCTTTGCTGATGGCGTTTTTGTTGGTCAGATTCTGGTTTCTGGCCTTCCTGAGGCTGATCCTTGGTTTATGGGACCCGGAGATGGGTCTTGCTCACCATTAAGCTTGTAGCTTCACCGTGTGTTTCATGAAGATGTTCTGTCAATCTGCCTGTTAGGTCCTGTGAGAGGTTGAGGTAGCCTCTTTGTGGGGTTTACCATGCAAACAAAATACAGGTGTAATGAGAAGCTCGGTCCTTCAATTGCTTCCTCCCTTATTTGTGGGCGTTTTGTTTTGTTTTGTTTTGTTTTTTCACGCATTCTGTAACATTTCTGCATGAATGGATTACTCTAAAACCAAGGCCAGATGTAAGGGACAGAAATATTGTTGAATGAACTCTAGAGTTGTTGACTCAGGTGGCAAGAATTTGTGTGTGTTTTTTTTTCTTAACACGTGGTTAGGTTTCATGTTCTGGAGCATTTCTTATTAAAGAAAACTTTCTTACCAATTTGTTTTGACAGGAAGCCAGCTTCAGATCTTTCTTCTATTTCATTTATGAAACTGGACTGTGGGCTTGTTTATTTTTTTACATTATAACATTAACCAACAAACTGATGTCTAGCTATCGTTAATATGAAGATCTTCAGATTCTTCTTGGGGAAGGGGAAGGAGGGCTGCTGGATGGTTATAGGGAAGAAGTGGTCTTTCTAGGACATAACTGTGTAACCTGCTGGGCCACTAACTGAATAAATATCTCAACTGATCATGCGCAGCCACGGATTAATTGAGGCCTTTGCTTCTGCTATTTCAATGAGCAGAGTGGCTAACACTATTCATTACTTGTCTTTACTAAGCATTAGCTTTCCTGTAGTTTTCTCGTGCTTAAGAGTAACAGGAAATGCACATAAATCCCTGAGCAGAGCCCAGCTCACAGTAAAACTTTGGGCACTTCTTAGCTAGTCTCATCTTTCATCCATCTTCTAGTCCAAGAATCTGAAAACTCATACCTGCATATGTCAGCTTTTTCTGGAGAAAATCTTGAGTATGTTGCTGACTGAAGCATGTTTCTGGAAAAATCACAGTGCATATTAGCATATAAAAGGAAGTGAGACTTTCTGTGGGGAGAGAAGAATTTCTTACGAAACATCCCTTTTCTTGGAACACCCAGTGTGCTAAGCTTCAGAACAGGATGTTAGAGTTTACAGAATGCTTTTGCATGTAGTATCTGAGCAGACGCCTCCCAATTCCATGCAGAAGCCTAGAAAGTACTTTTTCACACATGAGGGAGCTGAATCATTGTTCAAACAACTAACGTAAAGTGAGCACTGGAAGTGTTCCGCTGACTGCTCACTCCAAGTAAAAATCCTAAAGCATTCGATGTCTCACTTCCAGGGAAGCACCTCCTATATTCATTTCCTTCCTGTACGGTCTTTTTCATTTTATAAACATTTTGTCACTCATTTCCTCCACAGGTGCTCCTAAGAAAATTACATCCATTTTTTCATGATTTTTACTATTTCTTTTTTTTTTTAATATATTTTTTATTGATTTTTTACAGAGAGGAAGGGAGCGAGATAGAGAGTTAGAAACATCGATGAGAGAGAAACATCGATCAGCCGCCTCCTGCACATCTCCTACTGGGGATGTGCCCGCAACCCAGGTACATGCCCTTGACCGGAATCGAACCCGGGACCCCTCAGTCCACAGGCCAACGCTCTATCCACTGAGCCAAACCGGTTTCGGCGATTTTTACTATTTCTTATGTGTTGAGGCTCAGCAGGGAGGTCTCTGGAAAGGAGCAGGTGAGAAGGGAGTAGTTGAAGTCAGAGAAGTGAAGGAGGGCCCTTCACAATAAGGCCTTGGCCTCTGCTGTAAGTACTTTCTGTACCTCACACCCAGAAGTCTCAAATCCAGTGAAACCTATTTTCTCTTTAAGGTGGTGAGTACTTAACTCTGCTGGGAAGTAGAAGAGTACCTCTAGCGTTAAAAAAAATATGCCTCCCAAGTTCAAGCGCCACCTAAACGATGATGATGTCACTGGTTCTGTGAAAAGTGAAAGGGTAAGTTCAGAATCTTAAGCTTTTAAAAAAGAAAGACTAAAAATGTCTTCATTGCTTTTATAAGCACTTTGTTTTAGAAAACTAAAGTTTATGGCTATATTCTAATCCCTTTGTTCGTCATAGTAAACATTAAAAAGCAGTATACGTTACTTAAATTGGTGACTTAATTGAATCCTCCTTCCATTACTGATCTTGTAAACAGATGTTGGCTGGAAAAATGTTGAACTCTAATCATGTATAATTTTTTTTTTTAAGAAGTCAAACCATTCACGTTAATCCATTGGGGCTTTTTCTGCACTAGCCGGTCCCTCTGCTGGCCATGAATGCTCTTCACCCTGATCTTTGGTTGGCTCTTTGTTACCGTTTGTATCTCAGCTTAAATTTCACCCCTGGAGAGTGATTTTCCTGGACAGCCTAATCTCATTTAATCCCCCTGTCTCTGTCTGTCCCATCACTGTTTTAATTCTCTGCATAGCATTTAGCACCATCAGATATTTTTCTATGAGAGCTCAAACCTTGTCTGTGTTACTCAAAGCTGGTGCTTGGTCCTTAGAACAGTGCCCAGCACATAGATGCTCAAACATCTCTGTTGAATGACAGCTGACTAGAGGAAGGCAGGAGGAGGAGAAGGGACTTGCTCCTCCCAACTGCCCTCCGTTCTTACTCCACACCGGCTCAGTGCCCTTTCTGCCTCGTGGTCAATCATAGGATTCCACCATTAGAAGCACTTTCTTTCAAAAGTCTGCCAATGTGGTCTGTATCTTTTAGCTTCCATTGAAGCCCATGCAATTACTTTTCCCGCTGGAAGCTTGGAGTTCAGAAACTCCACCAGGACAGAACTCATTTTATTACTCCTGGCAGTGTGTAAGCCCTGAAATCTGAAAACTCAAGTCATTCTCTCTCTCTCTCTTTTTTTACAGAGAAATCTTTTGGAAGATGATTCAGATGAAGAAGAGGACTTTTTTCTGTAAGTTTTTTAACAGCTTTATTGGGATGTAATTGACATATAATGTATACACTATGAGTTTTGACATATGTACTGTACACATGCGAAATCATGACCAAAATCAAATAATAAACAGCGCCATTATGTTCAAAGTTTCCTTGAACCTCTTGGTAATCTCTCATTCCCCCAATCTCTAGGCAATCACCGATTGCTTTCTATTTCTATAGTTTGTATTTTCTAGAATTATTTTTATTATAAGTGGAACCATACCTTATGCCTCATTTTTTACTGACTTCATTCACTCTGTATAATTATTTTGAGATACCTCCATACTGTCACATATATCGGGTTTGTTTCTTTTTATTTCTGAGTAGTATTCCATTATATGAATATTCTGCAGTTCATTCACTTAAGATGGCTATTTGGAATAGTTGTACTTTTCAGCTATTATAAATAAGGCGACTATAAACATTTTCATACAGATTGTTTTGTGTGAACATCTGCTTTCATTCTCTTGGGTAAATACTTAGGAATAGAATGGCTGTTGTATATGTACAGCTGTTTTCCAAAGTGGTGTCCCATTTTATATTCCCATCAGCATTGCATGAGAGTTCTAATTGCTCCAAATTCTCATCAGCACTCCATATGGTCAGTCTTTCATTTTAGCCATTCTTGTGGGTGTGTAGTGGTATCTCATTACATTTTAATTTGCATTTCCCTAATAAAAAATTAGGTTGAACATCTTTTATGTGCATATTTTTCACCCTCATACCTTTATTTTTTAAGCGTTTTGTTTTTGATTTTTTAGAGAGAGAGAGAGAGAGAGAGAGAGAGAGAAACATTGATTGACTGCCTCCTGCATGTCCCCTACTGGGGATCCAGCCCAAACCAGGGCATGTGTCCAGACTGGGAATCGAACCGGTGACCACTTGGTGCACAGGATGACAATCAGTTGAGCCATACCGGCCGGGCATCCTCATATCTTTTTTTTTTAAAGTACATGTTAAAATCTTTTGCTCAATTTTAAATTTGTCTTCCTAGTAAGAGCTTTTTATACAAGAGCTTTTCAAGAAAAAAAGTTCCTTATCAGATATGTTGTACAAATATTTTCTCCCAATTTGCAATGAAATCTTTTCATTTTTACAACAGTATCTTTTGAAGATCAAAGTTTTGATTCTGATGAAATAAGTATTAATTTTTTAAACATTACTTTTGCTTATTTAAGAAATCTTTGCCGCCGAAGCCGGTTTGGCTCAGTGGATAGAGCGTCAGCCTGCAGACTGAGGGGTCCCAGGTTCGATTCCGGTCAGGGGCATGTACCTTGGTTGCGGGCGCACCCCCAGTGGGGAGTGTGTGGGAGGCAGCTGGTCGATGTTTCTCTCTCATCGATGTTTCTAACTCTCTATCTCTCTCCTTTCCTCTCTGTGAAAACTCAATAAAATATATTTAAAAAAAAAAAAAGAAATCTTTGCCAATCTCACTAAGATTTTCTTCTATTTTTTTCCTTAGGAGTTTTATAGTTTTGGCTTTTACATTCAGGTCTATAATATACTTTAAGTTAATTGTTACATATGGTTGAGTTAATTAAGTAAAGGATAATTTTTTTATTCTTTTGGCATATGTCTGTCTAATTGTGCCACCACCATTTGATGAAAAGGTTATTCTTTCCCCATGGAATTACCTTAATAATTTGTCAGAACTAATTGACCTGATCGATCCTTTGGAGTTATGGTTAGAAAGGGCTCTCATACGGGCCTGTGTTTATATGTGCAGAGTCGGGAAGGAGGACATACTGTTGTAGTTTCCTCTGGAGATTAATGTAGAGATAATCTTGAGAGCAACCATCGGTCTCTTTGTTATAATGTGAAGTTTTTTGTAGAGGTTTTTCCCGCCCCCAAAATAAAAACATTTTATAAAAAGTAATTGGCAACCATGAAGCATTGAACAGAAAGAGCCTACAGGATATAAAACAAATCCAATTATAGGAAATAGTATCATTTGTTGCATGAAGGGCAGATGAAGTAGGAAGATAATTTCCTACAGGTGACAAGATTTCCATAGAGTCACAAAGCTAACTGCTGGTAGTGCTGACTATGGTAAGGAGCCTTAGTCTACAGCAATAGCTACCTGTCAAAAAAGAACTCAGTATTGGAAAGAAGGCCAGATGCTTTGGTTAAATAAGTGATTACCTGAAAGAAGTTTAGACACCTTTGTGGGAAACACGAACTCTTCAGGCAACGATTTACTACTGAAGGTCCACTCCCAGGTCATGCTGTGCGTCTTCCAAAGGGCTGGACAGCAAAACTAGCACAGTTGTCCACAATTCAACTCCTGTACCTGCGGTTTTGTCTGTGCGTTTGGAAGGGAGACACACCAAATAAAGTTCTTGAAATAATTTTTAAGAATTAATCAACACCCATGTTTATAGCAGCAATATTCACAATAGCCAAAAGTTGGAAGCAACCAAAGTGTCCATCAGTGGATGGAGAGATAAACGAAATGTGATACACATATAGTGGACTTTCAGTCTTAAGAAGGAAGGACATTTTGACACATGCTACAACATGGATGAACCTTGAAGATATTACACTACAGGAAAGAAGCTGGTCATGAAAGGATAAATTTTACATGATTCCACTTATGTGCCTAGAGAAGTCAAATTTATAGAGAACAAAGTAGAACAGAGGCTACCAGGGGCTGGGAGGAGTGGGAACTTGGGAATTAGTGTTTAATTAGTACAGAATCTATTTTCTTTTTAGTTTTGTAGTTTACATCTTATTCTCAATCATCAGAAGAAGAATCATTACTTAAAATATCTAAAAGGTTTTTTTATTTCCGGAATTTTAAAAGGGGTTAATTAAAATGATATAGCATTTTACTATAATAGAGAATGATTTGAGAAATGTTGATATTTTCATAGAGTTCTGCAAAATTTCCCTTTAGCCATGTTGTTAAGTTTAAGATGAGGAATCAAAAAACATACTTAAAAATTTTTATCGTTTTGAATGGATTGTTCTCTGTATATATCCCTGATAATCAGCATTTTATTATAGCTGAAATTCAAGGTGATTGTACTTTTAGTTTTCTATAATTGATCATAAAGCTGTTCAGACTCACTGGCATTGTAGTTGTTATGGTATTTCAAAGTTTAATCATAGAGCATCCTGTGTGTAAGGGTTATATAAACCCACATTTCCCTGAAAGTTATAATATTCAGAAGAATTAGGTTCATTGTGGCCAGCATTAAGTACCATTGAAGGACAGACATGATTACATATTCAGTTCCAACAGTACCAGTAAACTGTGATTCCTTATGGTGAATGACCATGTTTAGGATTTAGTTTGATTTTGTGTGTTTTCTATTTTGTCCTTGGTTTTTAATGCTCTCATTATTTATATGCACTCTTTATTTTGTTTACAGAAGGGGACCATCTGGACCAAGATTTGGACCTAGAAATGATAAAATTAAGCAGTAAGTTTATAAGATACTCATTTGTTTAAGTGATTATCATTTTTCTGTGTGGACCAGACGGGAGGGCAAACTACACAACCTGTGAGCCATGTCTGGCTGCCACCTACATTTGTAAATAAAGTTTTATTGGAACACAGCCATGCCTATTTGCTTTCTTATTATCTATGGCTGCTTTCAAACTACAAGGGCAGATTTGAGTAGTTGTGACAGAGACCTTATGGCACACAAAATCTAAAATATCTATTATCTACCCAGCCCTTTATAGAGAAAATTTGCTGAGCCCTGATATAGACAAAATATAACTGCTGGGTTTTAAAAACGCAGTAATTTTTATTTTCACAAAGCTATCTCTGACTTATAGCTAAGAAAATGCAGTTCCTGATTCTTGGTTTTTCTTGACTTGATTACCTTATGTCAAATCTATTTAGCACATTTTCAAGGTCTGTTTTGTTGCTTTTTAAAAATATATTTTTATTGATTGCGGAGAGAGGAAGGAAGAGGAAGAGAGAGATAGAAACATCCATGATGAGCGAGAATCATGGACCGGCTGCCTCCTGCATGTCCCATACTAGGGATCGAGCG